CTACCTACCTACCTACCTACCTACCTACCTACCTACCTACCTACCTACCTTAGACAGTAAAGTCTAATGATATTTCCACCCTAGTACATTTCCATTCCCTAATTTCTTAACAACCAATTTAAGCTGGCCTTTCATGCAAGAAAGAAATTGAATAAATGTTATTGCCCTCAAATCTAAGTATGTGTTTGTCTGGTCATTTGCAAAAACAGAGATATGGACCTTTATTAAGGAGAAATTGCTAAGTTACCCTCTCACCATTCCTCTGTATCTTAGTAAGGATAATAAAAGGATAATCAGCCAGCAATAAGGTATTTAAGACTGTACACTGCTATAAAAAGTAGAAAAGGGGGGATATGTTTTAAAGGACAGTAGTATGCTGAAGGTTGCCTAGCTAAGGGAAAGAGACAGTTCTCAAGTAACAATATTCCCTATATTCTCCATGAAAGAAAAAAGTGCCATCTAAACATCCTCCAAACATGAAGCAGTCATTAAAAATCGAAGAACCCAAGCAACCTGAGACTTTGCACACAAGTTAGTCCCCTGACAAAAGGAAGCAGGAACTACTAATATTATTGTCGATTTCATTCCTGCTTCCTTGCTAGGAACAGCTGCAAAGCTCCGTAAACAATGGAAACACTTCACCTCAATCCTTACCTGCAACTAATTGGGAATCAACAAGATAGTGTGTAGTTGTCTGGTTGTATGCAGACCAGAAAACAATTGTTGTGAAACCTGTAAAGCCTTCAAGCTATTTTTCCTTTTAGGGATCTGTGAAGGAAATGCTGTCAGCTTAATCCCAAAAACAGGAGGTGGGAAAAGGTAAGATAAATGTTACTTTGTTTACCCATTGATTGTCTTGTCTTTTTAGATATCCTGAGACTAAGCTTAAATAATTCACTTAGCTGTCAAACACAAAAGTATACCAATGCAGAAATGATATTGGAGTACTACAATAACACTTTGATGTTGGAAGAAATATCCATCTGGTTCAGTTCCAAGCTGGGAGAAAGACACTGGAAACATGGATGTTGGTTGGAAAAATGGTTTAATGATGCACAGAACCAGAGGTGGTAATCTGCCAGTTCGCCCTAGTTCAGGTGAACCGGTAGCTGCGGTGGCGGGAGGCTCTGCCCACCCACCCAGACGACATCACGGACGCTCTGAGCACATGCAGAAGCGCCACACGTGAGCAAAGTGAGCGCGCACGCGCTCCCAGTTCTGAACTGGTGGCGAAGATAAGAGGAAACTATTTCTAAACAGAACCACCAGCGTTTATGGTTCTGTTACAGCTGCCAAAATGGAGTTGAGAATGGGTGGCTTTTATACCTTCCTTTGGGCTTTGTATTTGAGTTTCCTGTTCCTGTGCAGGAACATGTCCTTTAATATTCTATTGGCTGTTTTCAGATTCCTATGAGGGTCATGTAGGAGTCATAGCTGGCTGTATAGGCAAAAGTAGAAAGGGAAATCCTAGGTGTTTGTCTGAGTTTGGACTGCTCTGGGGGTGGTGCAATGTCTGAAATACCTTTAGGAGATTGGATAATGTAGCGAGCTCTGTGTCTTCTGCTAAATGGTAGGGGGCTCATCCTATTATGTCCTGAAGGATCATGTCCTGTTCTTAATCCCATCATCCTGGAGCTGAAGGTCTTTTGTTTTACAGATAGGCTGGCTCAATCTTTCTTAATGGGCACAAAATATCTGTTGGGTGAGTGGGGCTATTAGGAAAGAGTGTGTCTGCTTCCTGCCTCTAAAAAAACATGTTTCTCCATTTCTCATTTAGAGAAATATAATATTCTGCCTTTTTAAATATTCCTCAAAGTATTTCATTTGTCTAGGATGTGGGACTTCCCACATTGAGAATGTCTTAAGTGAGAACACTATAGAATCCTATGCAATATTGTATGTTCTTCCTGTGCCAAAAATGCTTTCCTCATCGCAATAAATTGGCTGTACTCATAATTTCCTTTTCTGACAGCAATATGAGAGGCACATCAAGTTCTGGGAAATCTATATCAGGGCAGTCTTCAATGGTTAACAAATAAGCTGCCTAGAATAAGGTGACCAACTTTTTTACAATGAAAAGGAGGACAAATAAATTGAAAAAAAAATCATAAATAAAAGAAATATTTTATTCATTGCAACAATAATACANGTTCCACAGGGGTGGAGCAGCTACAGAGAAGGCCCTCGCCCGAGGAGTCGCCAGCCGGCATTGTCCGGTCGACGTTACACGGAGAAGGCCCATCCTGTGAGATCTTATCGGCCGTTGGGAGGGATGTGGCAGAAGACGGTCTCGCAGATATCCGGGTCCCAGGCCATGTAGGGCTTTAAAAGTAATAACCAGCACCTTGAAGTGCGTTTGGAGACCGATAGGGAGCCAGTGCAGCTCGCGGAGGATAGGTGTGACATGGGTGTATCTCGGTACACCCGATATCGCTCGCGCGGCTGCATTCTGGGCCAGTTGTAGTCTCCGAACGCTTTTCAGGGGCAGGAAGCCTCTGGCCATGTGGCTCCCCTTCCCCAAGTCAGGAAGCGGCTCAGGGGAGCCAGGAAGAGAAGAGGCCGATCGGAGCTGAACTCCAGGCTGAATCTTTCCACTTTCATTTGTCATTTCCTCTCATAAGCTGGTTGGTTTGATTATCTCCATTTCACATTCTTGGGTTCTTTCCCAGACTCACTTCAGGCAGCCAGTCCTGACTTTCCCTTTCGTGTAACCACACTATGATCACCTCTAGGTATCCCATCCATGCCCCTCGCGAAGCCTGCTATGGAGACATGAATGGCTTCCCGGGAATCCGCAATTACGGTGTAGTCGATCCAGATGACACGTACGACGTCTACTGCTACGCTGAAGAACTTTATGGTCAGTTTAGTGGCCAGAAGCCTTTTGCCCCACCCATTGGCTCCCGTCCCCTTCAGTCTCCTTCTGGGGTGGGGGCCGGTGGGCTGTCTTCTGCCAGGGGGTGGGAAGAGCCTGGCATGAGATTCACTCCAATAATCAAATGGGGCTTCCAGACATGCACTCGATAGCCAAACCAGTATCTTGTTTTATTGTCTTTAGCTTCATGGAGGTAGGCGAAGCCTAAGGGAGGGGGGGGGGCTCATTTCGCTTGTCGTTTCTTTAGAAACCCTTGGAGATCTACCATGAGGGGCCACTGAAAACCCCAGGGCTGGGAACTAGACTTTTAAAAACATCTTCCATTGAAATTGGTCTGATTGTAGAATAGAAACATTACAAGAAACCCCCTGTTGCCTCCTATCAGTAAATTTCATTTTTCTGATTTTTTTTTAAGCCAAACTGATTCTAAAAAATCCTCTGTGTGGTCAGAATTTCAGTGAATAAAACATGCCGGTGCTTTTCTTTTTAAAAGCATTATGAGCTGCTGCATTTCTGCCCTCAGGGGACCTGTTTGTGATGACGTCCCCAAGGAAATTCACCTGGGAAGAGGCCAAAGCCGCATGTGAATCGCTGAGGGTGGAGATGGCCACCACCGGCCAGCTCTATGCCGCCTGGAACCAAGGGATGGATCACTGCAACCCCGGCTGGCTGGCAGACGGCAGCGTGCGCTACCCGATTGTGACGCCCCGCGAGAAGTGCGGAGGGAACATGCCCGGCGTCAAAACCCTCTTCCTCTTCCGCAATCAGACGGGATTCCCGGATCCCCAGAGCAAGTTCGATGTGTTCTGCTTCAGAGGTAAGCAGGGATCTTACTTGAGGGATTCAAATACCTTTGCGGTATTTGGCCAGCTCCTGCATCGCGAGGAGTGGCTTTGGCCATCGTTTCTCTCCTGCCCAGGGCAAAGAGGACCATGGAAGTCCAGCTGGTTTGCCTTTCCTTGAGTCGGGCTGGGCCCCCATGAGCTGTTGTGTTTCCTGCAGTGTCCTCGGTCTTTTTGGCCAGGCAAAGCTACGGGCAAAGCATCCAAGTTGCCAAGAAAAGCTCAATGAGTGGAGCTGAAGGCCCTGGGGGTGAGGAGGGGGCTTGCTTACTCCCTTCCCAGCCAGGACATGATTTGCTGATGTTGAATTCCCCTTGTTAGCAAAGGGCTTCCAGAGGCCCTTGGAAGGTCTCAGATACCCTCAGCTGGGCAGGATGGGTGGCGCAGGAAGGCGGCTGTGCATTCCACTTGCAGGCCTAGTGGTCATCTTCACCACATCTGGCAGAAGAGACTTACCCAGCAGTCGGTCCCTCTGGTTCCCTCCAATGGCCAGGCCAGCCACTGCTTCCTACAAGTAACATCCGGAGACCAGCTGCCTCTGGGAGCCCCTGGATCGCCCAGCCCTCCCAGCTCTCTTCCCTTTAACATCCAGAGGGGTGGGGGCTGCCTGTGCTCCTTCATTACTACAGCACAAAAGGGTCCGGAGGGAAAGGAAGGGCAGCCTCTGCCTCCCACCGTGGCCCTCTGGCATCTCCTCCCACGAACTGCCCTAGGCCAGTCTCCTCCTTGCTCCTTCCCCTCCAAAGGGACGCTGGAGGCCAGACCCAGAGCTCTCTTCTCTCGGCAAGATGTGGTTGTGGAAAGGGCGCCTCTGCCCGCGTTTTTTGCCCAAGGAGGAGAGATTCCCAAGCAAGCAGCCCCACCGCTCCCAGGCCCTGCCCAGCCCACCTGCCCGGGCAGCTCTTAGGAGGAGGAGGAGGAGGAGGAGGAGGAGGAGGAA